GTAGGTCAAAATTTGAAGCCCTTCACCGGCATACGGTGACGTCCCCATTTCAGTGAAAAATTCTCAAGAGGGTCGTCAAACAATATACAATCAATCAATATACATAAAATCCACCAAAACAAATTTTATGTCAAATTCAACGGTTTTGAAGGCCCTGTCTTTTCAATATTGTGTTTGAAAGGTACAATAATCTTATGAAGGGAAATATAAAAGCACTTTGAAATATTTCAGGAGAAAAATTCAGCATGCACTAAAGTGTAGACCGGGAATAAAGAAGTTTTTTGCTCAGAAGTCGTGTGACAGTGAACCAAGGTATATTATATTAGATGTATTCCTTTTTAAATTTTACACAAAATGTATACTAGATGGACGTATTATCGTATACTCATGCAGTAAACAGTGAAGATAATTTCAGCAAATCATCTGCCCTAGCTCCTTCCGGTATGCAACAACGATTCTGCGAGGAAGCGGAAGGGGGTGCTGTATTGTTTTACCAAACCGACAAAGTATAACATACATATACTGTGAAGGGAAACCGTACGTAATAGAAACATTTTTATCCTTCTTACTGTTCTCTCTGGTTCACCTTTTTATTATATCCCAATGTAACTTATGCTTAATCTACACAGACATTGCTGAAAGTAATTGTCACCAGGCCAAAAAAGTTATTATTTGCCCAACGTCTGGCTTTACTGACCACACAGCCATTGGTTTGCATTGGAAACTATGGTGTTACCTCAGTGCTGTACATTTCTTGCAATGATTTACATAATGCAGGGGGCTAATAGTATCCAAGACGTTCTGGTCATGGCCAAACGTTTTGATGTTTTTACAATAGATGAGCCTTATATGCACTGCATAGTTTCTTTTTCTTTCTTTATATTTTGAAATTTATATTTTTTCAAAAATACTATGACATTCAATAAAAAATGTGATATATGAAATTTTCTAAGACCTTATTTTAGTAGGTATGGGTGGGAATGGAAAAGTTTCAAAACTCAAGAACTCTCAAGTTTGAGGGAGCTCTCTCAAGATTGAAAACTTGTCTTAAAATATCAAAAGCCTCAACTGCAATCGTTTTTACCTTTTCTTTACATTCCAAATGCGGTGTAATTTGAACAATATACAATTTGCGCTACAAGCCTCCTTCCTTGTCTCTATTTGTATTTTATGCACATTTTATATATTATTATTTATGTTCTTTACATAGAATATAAAGAAAACTCCCTTACTCAGTTATATTTTATACACCCGAAAACAGGTACAAAACGGTTGAGTAGGTTGCACTATGGCTTAAATATTTCAAAAGTGTAGATGTATTCCTTGTGACAAGACCTTTCGTTTGGACACTTTATTGTCACTACTACTAATGATATATACGATAAGATCTAGAAAAAGGAGACTTATATCAAAAAATCGTTTTTTCACAGAAAAAAAAAAACGGAATGCGTTCATACGATAATTTGTAGCCTGAAAATGAGGTGTTTTGGCCAATATATCTTGCTGTTCAGTGAAATGTACTAGTAGTGGTCTGCATTTTGTGAGGTAGCGTAAGGCCTTAGCATGGGCCTGGAAGCTATGGTAGATCCTTTGAAATAGTAAAAATAGGTATAATCTTTATGAATTTTTGAAATTGTCTCTGAGCAACCATAAGTGCACAATGTATAATTTGTATATGTTTTATTGCAAACAAAGAAGGTGTCATTAACATTTGAATCACTGTGTGGGTTGTGCGATTTAATTGAATTAATTTTGACGTTTTTAATACCTGATTCATCTTCTTATTTTTTTAACAATATATTATTTGAAAAAAACAATATATATGTTTTGTTTTAAGAATCCTTCTATTGTTTTTAATAAAGTAATATCTCATAAAAAATGAGATATCGTTTGTTTAAGAATGAACGATGACAGATATTACTTTATTATTTGAGTCATTGTCTTTAATGTATCAATGTTAATTGATACATATACATGTACGCAGAAAATGAAGCTTCGTATTGAAGTTGGGGGCCCTTTGATTTTCATGAATATCAAAAAAAAAAAAAACCTCAGTGACAGGTACACACTTTAAAGCTTTCGTAGCCACAGAGCACAGGTTTGTTGAGAGTCGAGCTTGAAATATAATTTGTATATTACATGCATATGTTTGAAGGTTGAGTAAAAGGTCTTTTGAACAACCATGTGCTCTTTGATTTCTGATAAGGGTGAAATATCCCTCAGCTCCATTCTACCATCTTTTTTGAAATTCAACAACTATAGCATTATATTCAAATGAAAAGTAGTTTGAAGTATGAAACGCTGATTACTTTTTCTGAAATTGATAATATATCAAATCAAGTTGTGTAGAAAATGTGATATGGTAAATTGAAAGATAATTTTTTTTCTGTCACAATATAATTAGATATATAAGGTGTATATGAAAATAAAATTTACTCTCATACCTATCTAATTCTCTGTAGAAAACATAAATAGGCTTTGCTTTTTAAATTAGAAAAACAAATAGTTTTATACTCCCGTAAAATAACATGCATCCATCAACAAGAGTTATCTTTCCATTATCACCCTTGAAAATATTTTTAGTAGGACAAAATATTAAATAATTGTATATGAACAATTCAGCATCTGAATTTTTTTTACAGTTAAAAGGCATACTTTAAGAGATAGAAATTTCTCAAATTAAACTATTTAAAGACGCGGAGTATAAATGTTATAGGTAAACTATCATAAATAATTAAAACATGTAACAATACTAGCAATAGAAACTAAATATCAACATCTGTATCTGTCACAATTTTCGATAAATGGCATGGAAGTAATCCCTCACTGTAACTAAACCTTGTAAAAAGGACAAAGAGTACGTGCAAACAAAAGTTATTTACAGTGCTCAAAACATATAGAACATCTGTACACATACACAACACTCACACCTACAACACTCATACAAAATTAAAAAAAAATAAACAAAAAGAAAATAATGATAGTGTCAATGTACCGACTGTAATAACGTCATATAAGAGGTCATACAAATGTTTCATTGCAATGTACAAATAAATCCAATTAGGAGACTCTGTCGAGATCACAGAGGTTGACCAAAGACGTTGCCGTATACTTAAGAGTCAAAATCAGCAAGCATCGAGCATTGAATGGAAAGTCAAAATTTTATTTTTTCAAAAGCTTTTGGTATATAAAAGATTTTGTCCTACCTAATGCTAAAACACAAATAAAATTTTTTTTAACGTATGAAGGGACTGGTATCCAAGGAAATTCATTTCCTTAGCAACGGGCTCATAAATCCTTATGAAAATCAATGATTTTTAGACATTTTTCTATGAATATGTTTTCTGAACGTGATAAGATAAGGTATTTTGGTTACTTTATTTGTTAAAAGATGGAATTACTTTATTCTCCAAAAATAGGAAAAACAAAATTTCTGTAGTCATATTGTTGCCATGACAACGGGAAAAGAACATGGCGTCAATGCTTATTAATTTTGAAAAAAATTACACATGTTTATCACTATATACACAAAATCTACAACCACTGCTGGAAAAATGAATGATGTGATCTTGTTAGGGGTTATCTATATGTCATATCTATACAATAAAATTTGCAGGCAACTTTAGTAGAAAAAAGTTACAAATGGTTAAAATGTGTGACAATCTGGCATTTATAAGCTTTTTTGAAGGGACGGGGGTAATTTGAATACATGTACAGTGTCCATTATATTGGTCATATTTATTCTGATCAAAGCATACTCATAATTTTACTATTGTTGATAAATAAATGCATATTTAATTTCAAAAAGAATTTTACATTCCTCATAAACGAAACTTGGAAAAGGGGGGGGGGGTATGAATCACCTTGTTCACCAATCCATATGTATGCAAAATTTTGCCTTGTCCATAACATTTCAATGAAGTTCCACTGAAAGTTCATACTTGATATTAAGATTGCTTGTGATCTAGAGATGTGTCAAAAACTTTACCCAAGGTCATTTGAACAAGTTCAAGGTCATTGGTAGAAGAATAGTGCAATCTTTGCCCATTCTGTAACATTCTAGTGAAAAGACTTGAAGTTTCATCTCGGATATTATTTTTGAGCTGTAGGTTTGTCATGACCTTGAAGTTCATTTGGACATGTTTGACCTTGACTCAAGGACATAGATTTTTCAAGGTCATTGCAGTAAAAGTGTACTTTATGAGTTTGGCACATTTACATATTTATTGGAAGTTTATGCTCAACACAACGGTTTTACTACCTACATGTATGACTTGAGTATACATGTATGTCATAGTCATTTTTGGTATGTATATCTGCACTAGCAAAATTTTAAAAAGGTTTTAAATTAATATTTGGACCTTTTTTGAAATAAAAACATTTAATGCAATAGCATTTTTTATGAGCTTGCTCACAATAATTATAGTTTATGAAAGAGAGTCACTATGACAGCTCACATAATTTTAAAGTAAAACCATATCAATCAGGCATGTAGCATCAGGTTTGGGTTGGGTAGGGGGGATGACATCCCCACCCAATTTTTTTCTCAACACCTGATGTTTACCCCCCCCCCCGCGAGTTTGGAGAATCCCCCCCCCCTTTTTTTTTCTTGGCAGTTTTTTTATGCCTATCCCAGACCATGCACTTTCAAAAATGATACCATGTCTGTCAAGAACGAATGACTGAAACCATTGGTATTGAACTGATGATATATTCTCCTGCTGTCCTTATTAAGAAACAATATTGCAAGACAGCTAAGACCTCAGTGGCTATACTGGTGCCTAAAATAAAAATCTTGAAGAGCTATATATATATATATGAATGTCTAAACTTGAACTGACCCTAAAAGATATTTATTAATAACGCTAATGGGCATTCCTATATCTAAAAAATTTCGAAAACAATGTAGAAATCAGAAGAGAATGACAAATATGAATATTTTACATATATATAATACCTAGAGATACAAAACATAAATTTGAGGAACGTGTTGTCTGACTTTAAACTAGTCCATCATCATTTTTATTTTACTCACACCAACATCAGTCCAACATGAGGTACAATATATAAATTAGCCCTCTTTCTTTTTTCTCACAAAAACATTTTGTCAGTTTTAATTAACATTTATTGATCGATCATTTAATATTGACCTTGTTTTAATTATGATACTTCAAAATGCAGAATATAAAGATATGTTTCAGATTCTTCGACTATCTAATAATTATGAATCTGCATGCTAAAAATTGATACGTAGTTATTAGATTTATATCAATAAAAAATGCTAACAGACAAACAAACAATGTTACTTTTAGATTGAACATTTTATTTGATCCACTTTCGTACATACACTGTACAATTTATGGATCTATTTTCTTGATCCCTGAGTCTCCGTTAACACTATCCACTCACTTCCAGCATCAATGGTCTGTACTGTAATAATGTATTCTCATAATCTGAAAAAAGTTATAAAATTAAAATGTAATAATATTGAACAGCTTTGTCGTCATATAGTATACTTAGAACCATTTCTATTTGAGCTTGAGGAATGATGATGAATACAAAGCATGTTTATTGGAATCAATTAAATTCCAAGAAATCTCAATGATTTATCATTTCATTTTAAAAAGTTAATGTTTTTACTAAATGTATTATTTACATGTTTTTCCTGTCCAATTTTATATCAGCTCATCCAATTCTGTTTCTGCTTCTTTCCGAGTTTGGCTTCAAAGTGCCGAATTTCATTCTAAAAACAGAAGTACTTAGTATACAACACAAAGATGAGACCGCATTGATTTTAAATATTCTTTAAATTTAAAAACTTGCAATAAATGTCAATTGGTTCTAGGTTTTGTCAAAACTCTAAATCTTTCCAATACCCCCCCCCCCCCGAAAAAATGAAGTATAGATATTCATTTCATAAATTTACGTGCTTTAAATCTAATGATGCTTGTTATTTGAACCTAGTTCAGTGGTACCGGAGAAAATGTTAGCTGAATATGAATTTTCTTTTATAAGTAAACACTGGATGACATCAGCTAAAAAAGTTTTTTTTAATTAATTCTTTTACTGTGGTATATATACAATTCAGTTACCACTAGTCCACAACAGTACATAATAAACATGTCTGTATCACAATACTTCCAATGTAATCCCCTTTCCTAAACTAAAATATATTAAGTACAGAGTTAACCCCCTGCCCCTTTTTCTATTTCTTTTTTACGGACGCCATAACAAAGATCATTCCATTTTACAAACATTTCATAATAGTGTTGGTTTTCATAAATTCATAATTTTTCATGTGAAAAGCATGCATTATCTTAAATGGTAAATAAAGATATCTACTATTACCGGTATATACAGAATTTTTATTTACTCGACCATCAATCAAGTTATAATCATTATATAGCTGGTGAGTGACTTTGGCTTCATACATACCGTGAATACAACAAATTAAAATGAAACTAAATTCAATTTAAACTTTATAATTTGGGATACAGTTATGTAACTGATCATGACCAACTTTTTCACGTTAGGCCCTCAGAAACAATCTAAGTTGGGGAATTTAATTTCATCATATTATAGTTTAATATCAGCAATATTATTGGGGGGGGGGGGGGGCATACCCCCTCCTCCTGGTTCCGCAGGCCATGCATAATCTTTAATTTTTGTTTTTAGCTATAAAATAAGTAATGCTAACATATATAATCAATCAGTATAAAATGGAAATGTGCAAAAACACTGTGCCAAGTGTTACATATTTTACTGCATGGATAATTTATGCTATACACTCTTCAGTAACTGTTGTAATGGTAAATTGTAAAAATTTCAATCACTCACCGTAATTAAGACTCATGAAAACGACAAAACTGAGGCTCAGACTGCTCCAAGTTTGTAATTTTCTGCTAGTCTTCTGTACATTGTTATTGAAAACAATGTAAGCAAACTACCGTTTATTCCTCCTATGTTAGAGAGCTATACCAAAGGGAGGTAATTTGAAGCAAAATTGACAGAAAATTATGGATTTAAATCAGTTGTCATATATAAATGCTTTAGTTGCCTGCAGATTTTTTTCTTGATTCTTCTAGAACAAATGCTGTTTAATAAATATTTTATGTTGATAAGCTTTAATGTGGTTGTAGATTTCTTATAAAGTACTTCAAATTTGCTGTTTTTTAAAGCAAAATAAACCTTCAAAAATAGTTATATTTATCAAAAGGTGAAGAGAATTTCAAAAATCAACAGTTGCTAAAATAGAGTATATTTATATGAATAAAATAATAATTCAAAAAGCTTTTTTTAATGACTAGTAATAAAAAAGTATTTGTTTAACCATAAATTCAAGTGTCATGATAAAGTACTAAACACGCTATCTAAAAGGCGCGTGGTTTCCATAGCAACAATGCGAAAAATTATTTTTTGCTTGCTCTTTTCTATCATACCCTTTGTTCTGAAAATTTATATATGAGTTTTAACCAAATCTGTTTCTATGCCACTTTCCACATTTTTTAACTAAATGCTCGATGCTTGCTGATTTTGACTCTTAAGAAATGAATTTTATTTTTGAAGATTCATGAGGTTATGAACTACGACGCTTTACGCCGGTGTAAAGACGAAATAATGACCCCCATCGAATAATGACCGGGGGTCATTTTTCGACAGCGAAAAATGACCCCCGGTCAATATTCGACGTAGAAAAATGACCATTTTGCCCGTAGAAAAAGTGTCACTTCCATAAAAATTTGCAGAACCCACGTGAAGAAAAATGACCCCCTGTAGATTAAAGGTAAAATTTTTAGGGGGCAAAAAAAAAAATTGGATAAAGAAGCATATTGGCCAAAATGCTCACCTGAGCTTATTGGGAATAAACTGATGATATGTTGATCTCATAACGTTATACAATCAATAGATATATTTTAAGGTAAATGCAATGATTCAGAATCTAAAGGAGTAAAAGATTTATCAAGCCTTAAGGGTTAGGTAAAAATTTTTTTTTTTGATGGTGGAAATCATCGAACTGACAGAAAAAAATCAGCAGTATTATTTATTATTATATCCTCCGCTTGAAAAGCGGGAGGGTATATAGTGATTGGGATGTCCGTCCTTCCATCTGTTACGATTTGAGGTATCCATCTCTTATCCGCAAATCCTCATATATAAAAAGATGTGTTTGTGAAACAGCTATGCCCCTGTATGACAACATAGCGAAGATTAAACTTTTCTTAAATGCAATTTAAATATATTATTACCCAAAGTAGGGTCTTCTCACAAGAAATACAACTGCAAAATAGGAAAGCCCTAGCACCACTTGTTCAAAAGTAATGGCTAAGGATAATTTTTTGAAAGGTAGGTCAAACTCAAAGGTCAAAGTTGATGATTTCTTATGAAAATGTTTAATGTAACAAGGATTACATATGTTAAGTATGAATACCCTAGCCCTTACCGTTCAAAAGTTATGGCCAAGGTAAAAAAAAAATCATAAGTACAGAAAACTCCAAGCTCAAGGTCAAAAGGTCAAGGTTTTTAGTATCCAATGAAAGGTAATGCCAAAAAAACTACATATTTGAAGTATGAGAGTACTAGTATCTACCGTTTAAAAGTTATGGTCAAAGTAAAAATTTGGCATTTTTGTGTAAAATGGGATAAACTCCAAGGTAAAGGTCAAAAGGTCAAATTTGGTGGTACCCAAAGTAAGGTCTTGTCACAAGGAATATACATATTAAATATGAAAGTCATAGCTCCAATAAATGAAAAGTTATGGTAAAGGTTAAAGTTTTTGTGGACAAACAAACCACCAGATAGGAAGACGGACATACAGACGAACACAATAAAACTATATACCCCAGAATCTTCGATAACGGGGACATACAAAAAGAAATGGTCTTCAATTAACTTTTCATATTAATATACATTATAAAGAAGACGTTACAACAATGAAAATGTTTGTTCTGATTTTCATATTAAATTCTCTGAAAAAAAATACTCTGAACTGAGTAAAAGGGTTGAGTAAAACAAAAATTAAGGTAGAACCTATGTCGGAAAAGTCTTTGTCACAAGATTTTCAAACTTTTCAAAATGATAAATTAATACTTGCTTATCAATCAGTTAAGATATCATGATATGTTTCCTTGTTTTTAATCTAGAACAGGCTATGAAACTTGGTATGGTATTTACATACTGCGACTTCACATTACCAAATATTTTTAGGGGTACTTGTCATAAAGGGAATATGAAATATCACAAAAATACTTCTTCAAACATCGTCGTTTATAAACTTTTTTAACTGAATAATATTAAACAATATTTATCAAGAATAACTTATTTTTTATTCAATTAACATAAAAGATAAGTCCACCATTAAGATAGGCGATATTCATATTCTTGACCTTTTTGCACTTTCACGGGATTTAATAATTAAATGACTGTTTGGGGTTACTTTCAGATTAAATATTAATCAGAAATTGTACATTTTCTTTAAAAAGATCATATTTAATAGAAAAATTGTAATCAAACACCAAGAATATGAATAGTTAACAAATAATTGTTAAAAGGAATGCACATCATTTCATTATAGATATCACAAAAATGTACACACGATCAAACGATCTACAACACGTACATCTTTGACATTAGACACATTTCATCAAGATATTACACTATATAGCTGGCAACTAAAGATTTCTTAAGATTTATGCATTCCTTCAAAATGGTTACATACCATTCAAATTATTACGAAAGTTGTATGCATCGTAATTTCATGACACTAGATAGTCTTGGCTTTGTCAACTTCAGGTTTAGATCTAGTAAATAAAAGGTGCCTACATATTTCTCTTATTCCAGTAATAAATTGCCATTAAGCATTATAAACCAAAAAAAATATATGAATTGAATCAAGATTATGTTGGCATGATTGAATTCTGTGAATTTCAAAATGCAGTATTTTCTACCATTTTTATTGAAGCTCTCAAGTACGGGAAAAAGTGGCATTGAATTAATTATGACGTCTTAATGGGTTAGCACAGGTTTAACACATTTACAAGTTATACGAAGTAGGTTCTACGTTAAAAGAAATATAATGAATACTGTGTGTTTATGTCTACATGTATAGTTTTTGCATTAGAATGACTGTGTATTTTACACTAGCCCATAGCTTTACAGAGCATATTTTTAGGTCTTATACTTACCCCACCCCCTTTCTTATTTAGGAGGAAGTCGATATTGAACAAAAGCAAAAAAAAAAAAAAAAAACCCTACCTTTATTTTTCTATAAGAAGGAATTAAAAATAAGCTAAAAATAATATACTATTCTACTAATTTTTAACTGTTACTTTGCCACAATTCTTTCAAGTATACCTCCACCAACATTTAAAGTATGCTTTAATCATGGCGAAGTAAATTATGATATGATATGATAGTACTTGTGTGAAGGCTTAACTTCATTTCAATATTTTATCTAGAGCCTCTTTCAGAATTATTGAAAGGTATAGAGTTTTATTTATATTTTTGTTTTCATTTATTATTATTTTTTTGTTTTGATTTAACGTAAAGTTCTTTTTTTTGGGGGGGGGGGGGGTAAAAATTTCTTCCTCTTTCATTGTCTAATAGGATTTCCCAAACTTAAACAAACTAAAAGTTGAAATGACGGAAAATTTAATTTTTTCTAATTAAAGAGTATTTAAACCTAATTTTTGCATGGTTTGATTTCTAAAAACAAGTGGAATATCATTCTTTAAGCAAACATTATAATTATAAATATTAAAAAGAAATTTTATTTACTTGACAATTAAAGAATCTATTTTCAAACACAATTTTAGCATTGAAAGACTACGTGAATCTTTTAATTATTTCATACGACTTTTTGTATTTTTCTGGTTACAGAAAATGTAAAAATTAGTTTCGCTGTAAAAAAGATATCAAAGAGTGTTTATTTTGTATCACTTTAAAGGGGGTCATTTTTCAATGGGGTCATTATTTTATAGGACAAACATATAAAATAATGACCCCCTAGGACCCTTTTTCTACAAAAAATATTTTTTTCTACGGGTGGGGGTAATTTGTTGTCGTTGAAAAATGACCCCCCAGTCATTATTCGATGGGGGTCATTATTCGTCTTTACACCGGCATATTTCATGAAGCGCGTTAGGGCTTCATGATAAATATGCCGGCGTGAAGCGTTGTAGTTCATTTACCTCATGAATCTTCAAAAATTAAATTCATTTCTTATATTTACATTATTTTTCTGATGACTTGCCACACATTTACACCAATCAACTGTCATCTTTAAAGCAAAACAATGTGTACTATATTTTCGACGTCAAGTGCGGTATGATGACGTAACAATGGAGATATTCATGCTTATTCGTGGTACATATATAATGTAGTTCATGAGAAAATAAACTGCACATTATTTTGTAAAGAATCATAGGGGAAAATTATTTGAAATGTAAATATTGTTCATTGACACACAGTCGTTGGTTACTCATGGAATTATAGTTACGACATGTCCAACAGTCGCACGTCCTCTTCGCCTTCAACGCTCCAGGGATTTTCTCGAATGTCTCAGTATACCATTATGTTCACCAGCTTACTCAAACATGCAAATACACTGCCTGGTCACCTATGATATTATTATTATTCCAGAATCTGGGTTTTCATTGTGGGTAAAATAAAACGTATTTATATGAAGTACCTGAATATGTCGGTTATATTATCTAGTATACATAATGCTTAACAAAATACTGAAATATAAACTTTTAAAAAATATTATTAAAATGCATAGCCAACAAAATATACAGTTCAAACTCACCGCTGCCAAAGTTCTCAACTTTACTTTACAGTCCACACAGGAAAGCTTCTCGAACACTCACAAAAAAATCAGGCCTAATGCAAACAGCTATTTTTTGCGACCACACAGGTCATATGATATTTTCTCTTATGAAGGACAAACCTTCTCATTTCTGCGGCCTGCTCTGAACTCACACGTCGACAAAATTGTATAGACTGGTCTGATAGCAGTGACCAGCTATCCGTAACGCATTTACCACTGTATATGGTGAGAATAAAATTATGGTACGCCATAACAAACAAAATAAAACTAAATGAAAATTGTGACAGTACCATAGAACAGATTCAATTGAATTGACTGTAAAATGGTTCTTTTGAAAGAAATCTTTAAAAGTTGGCATAGCAATTTATTGAATATCTCTCTTTTATCAGAAGACTTATCCCTCCTATCGAACGAACTTTTTATGACCTATTTAGAACAAAACAAACCTCATAAATCTGTGTCGTTACAGATAAATGTCCACAGTGAACGTGCTAGCGAGCAATCAGTTGAAACGTACTTAGATTTATAACGGTCAGCATGGACTTGTTTGTTTAATCTCTTAAAAATCTGGAACAGAAAATTCGTCTTTGAAGGGAAAATATAATTGTCAAGAAATTTCTTTTTATAGCATATAATCTAAATATCTCTGTCCATTTCCACGTCATAGAGAAACCTACTCTGAAAGGGTTGGGGGTGGGATGGGGGGTCCGCCATTTC